CAAATTGGATGAATCAAAAAAGTCAAAACGACATTTATTATGAATAGGAGGTAGTATTAAATTTTATTTCACATGAATTGCACACAAAAACATAAATAAATTTGTTATTGATATGATCATTACCGATTATTATACCTGTTTGTAAGTTTACTAAAGGTGATCTATCTTGCATGTCAGTTTGATCAGCATCAGACTTATTTTGAAAAATAAATAAATAAAGATTAATTACTTAAATTGATATAGATAATTAAAAAAAGAGAGAGAAAAATATGTAGACCTAATCTGAAACCAAATGCATGCAGTTCAAAATTGAATCATTTTTGTTTTCTTATTTTAAGTATTTAATTTATATTTTTTAATTTCAATTGGATCATATTTCTACATGTTTATTTCAATTATTTTATATCAGTTTACCTATATAATAGTAATAATATCTTTATTATCCAGGAAGTTTCAAGGAATGACATTATTGTGAAAAACATTTTTCGTTAAAAAAAAACATATGGTAATTTATATTCACAATCAGTAATATGCTATTTCTAGAGTCACCGATTCTAGCTATTTGATGATTATTATTTATAACAATAGTCATAATGAATACAGTTCATCGATTACTAAGATTATATTCAAAAGAATATCTAAATATATTAAATAAAATATTATCATACTTTTTATTAACACTATACATGTTTTATGTATATTAAATTAAATTCACCCAAATTATTTTTAATGCCAGGCCGCGCAACGCGCGGGTCGCGTACTAGTAAATAACATTCTCTTCTCTGTTGATCTATTCATTAGTGGATATTTTTAGTAATTAATTTTTACTTAATTTTTTTTTTATCCTTATTGGTTTGCTTCGGGAAACTGAACCCTTATTGGTACAGAAACAATAGTAGTTCGGTAACTGATAATCGGTACTGTTACAAACGAGTCGGTACGGTTCGATTTATTTTCTCGTCGGTACGATTCAATTTTTAGATTTCGGTAAAAAAATACCAACACTAGCAACAACGACAACTTCTAGGATGAGCTCAATTTCTTCTTTGATACGCTTACGGCTAAGTCTTCCTTTAGGTACTCTAAATGTACGCCATTTCCTCTTTTTTTTTCACTTTTTTTGGTGTAATAAATTTCCCCTT